CGCCGTAAAACCTCTACTAAAACTAAACTTTAAAAAAGTTCTCCGTTGACAGTAACTCTGGGACGCAAGACGGATCAGCTGTTCACCTGGCTGGGCTCTGTGAACATCATTTATTTAATCTCATAAATTCCGTTACATCGTTTGAGTGGGTTGTTGGTGGGTGCTCTGTTTGGTGTGGTTTGCTCCTTCTTTCTTAACAAATATCTATCGTCATTATCCCTCTCCCTGTTTGTGCATGGGTGGTTGGCGGGTGCTCTGGTGTGGTGTGCTCCTTCTTTCCTATCAAACATCTATCGTCCTCATCTCCCCTTCTTCTTTTTTATGTTTGTTACTCTCTTGTAACACCTCTTATCTTCTGGCGCTCATATGATCTTATGCAGTTGGGAGCGCCGTAAAACCTCTACTAAAACTAAACTAATCGTCGGCACTTATATGACCTTATTGTGTTTCGTAAATCTCTTACTATATAATATCAACCCTGATGACTGTATTTCTGGGACCCGTGAGACGTGTACGCTGTCCACCTGACGTTGCTATGTGTACGTTATTTATTTGTTCAGTTAGATTCTGTTGCACACCTTGATAAGTCCTTCTGTCAACTTATTTTATATATCACCTGTCCATCCTGCCAACCTTCACCTGTCTATCACTCCTCGGGGTTTAATCTGTCTGTCAAGTTCAACCCAGGCTGACCTCACTGGGCGGTGCTACTGAGTGAAGTGTCTTTAGGCCATTCCCAAAGGAGGGGCATCAACGTGTTTTTATACTCAGTGGAATTGTTAATGGGCTGATTCATCGATGTCATGCTCATAACTGTTCCTAAACTGCAGCAGGGAACTGCTGCTTTTTCTGTCCTAATCTTTACCATCGTCATTTTCCTCTACTTCTTTTGTATGTTTGTCACACTCTTGTGACCCGCTGTTTCCGGGGTGCCTTGATAGTCGAAGCAGACTTTGTGCTTTTGAAGCGAGAGAGGTGAGCAGAGTAAGACTGATTCTCTGTAGGGACTTCTCTCTTGACATCCACCCAGTTGTGAGCACCGTAAAAACTCTACTAAAAATATATTTTAAAAACCCGGGCTGAAAGGGATACAACGTCCCAGAAGAAAGACCCGAGATAAAAATTCTCCCACTCGAGAATCAAATCCCTGTCTAACACTGCAATGTAGCAGCTACATCACAGACCCCGTGAGCACCAGTAACCAATCATGTTTAGTGGTTGGAGGACGCACATGTGTAGATCTTTCTCTTTGGCTGCTTCTTTATGAATGTTGTTACTCTTCCCCAGCACGAAATGATCGTTATTATCTCGATAATTAACAAACTGAACAAACTACCACCGACCAAACCGTCTAATTTCCCGCCTTTTTTCTGTCTCCCCCAGGTCTCTGATCAATGCGCGTCTCCGGAGCTCCCGGTCTCACGAGTCGCTCCTGGCCTCTCCTCCCAGCATGCACTCCATCGACCTCAGTGCCCCGGATGTGGAGGTCAAGCCGCTGCACAGCAGCGTGCTGGGTCAAGGTCACTGCTTCCACGTGTCCACGGCCCAGGGCAGCAAGTACATCTCCTGTACCACATCGGAGGAGAGGGACAAGTGGCTCTCCAGGTCTGTACTCTATTCATTGTTGTTTTTGGGGGTTTTTTTTAATTAAATTTTTTTTTTTGGTGTTTTTTTTTGGGGGGGGGTGCCCAAAATGGTGAAGTGGAATTGGTTTATCGCCCCATATCAACACTGATAGTTATTTAAGAGACGGGACCTCCGAGTTTAACTTCTATCTCCGAATGGACAGAGCCAAGTGGAAAATTCGTGTAAAGTGCCTTTCCCAAGGACACAACGTCGGACCGAGCCGAGGCTCGAATCCCCGAACCCGCAAAATCACGATTACGAGTCCGGTAGCCTCTACCGACACCACCTTTAGATCATACGAGCACGCGGGACACATTAAACATTTTCAGTCTTGTAGGAATTAATTTTGTTTTTTGCCCGGGTGGTGCCGAAGCCTACTTTTATCGGTTTTAGAGACACCAAAGGATCTTTCACGTGCACCACTTGCACACGGGACATCCGAGATTTTTTTGCCCTTATCCGAGAAGGCTAGG